CGAATATTGATCAGTCTTGAGGATTATCGTAGAATTATCATTCACTACCCCAATTCTCCGTATTATAAAATTGAAGTACACTTTGATTAGGGAAGTGAACCTTTCGACATGACTTCAAGGTCAACTCAATTTTTGATCCATTCATTCATTTTTGGGCAAAATTAGTTCTTTGATTTTCATTGATATTCATTTTTTACAAAGTTCTTTGGATGGCTAAAAATGATTGGAAAATTGGAAGGACAAGGTCTATCTATTAATAGCTGTTGTGAAAGTTTTCTTTTATCGATGAAATCTCGATAAGAAGCAATGAAATGAATCAGTAATTTCTTTGTTGTAAATTTGATACCAATTGGGTATAATATGTTGTATATGTGAATATACTACTGTACAATATAAAAGGCAAGCTAAAATTGTCCATCACGCTGAAGCATTATAAACAATTCGTAACTGTTGTAATCTTGCTAGGAATTAGTACCGTCATTATATGGTAAATAATGTATAACACTTATAATGCTTGTCCATAGAATGCACTTCTTCAGTTATATTTGATGATAAATTGATGTTTGATTATTTCGTTATATAAATGAAGAAATGATTCATGTTGAAATCATTTGGTCAAATCCCCTAAATGACCAATACATAATCCAAAATTATTACTTAATTTGTTCGTAGATTCCTTCTATGGCCAACATCCTTGATATCCCCACATACTACATTCATATTTGACGTTATCTTGAATTGTTTTAATGCTTCATTGTTATCATTCGCATTGGGTTGTTTATGAATCATCATGATTTCCAATTTTCAAAATTTTTCTATCTCCAATTCACAGTTCACACTAGCAACAAATAATGCACTCGAAGTATATGTTGTATTCATGTTACAAAGATTATTTATATCACCATTGCGTACAATCATCGGCCCAATTTTTGCATGAAGTAGTGAATATCCGGAATTTAATTCCTTAATTCCGTTCGACTTAACAAATTTAAATGAATAATTGTCCCCAGTTAATAAGTCGGACTATTTCCAATAATCCCTTAGGTCCCTTAGTTGACCCTTCTGCAGTATCTCAACTACTTGCAGTTTATTAGTTAAGTAACCAACTATATTGGCGCACAATATTATAGTTTCATTTGTTTTAGGTTTGTACGCTCATTTGCGCTTGAATGATGAGACACGATCTAGCTTTCTTGATACTAAATGGAGTTAATTGCTCTTTCGTCTCCATCAACAAACAACAAACAAACAAAACCTTTCCTGACATAACTAACGGACGAAGTTGATGGTTATCCACTAATATTTCAACTCCAACTAACTTGGTACTTTTATGCAGAGATAGTGTCTACAACCTCAAGAAGAAGAAGTCTTAGCATTGTTAGATATAGGATCGCAGTTATCCTTCCTTTATAACGGAAAACTTAGCACATCGATTAAATTTAGCAAAGACAACAACCAATACAAAATTCAATACCATTTTTGTAATACGAAATAGAAAGTGTAGTATCATTGGTTCGTTAATTAGTATCAATTAGGAAGAGTTAATAGTGGAGTTAAAGAAGATGAATGTCGCCAATTTCTGGTCCGATCAATAATTTTTTTTTTTAATAAGCTCTAAAATCCGTTAATGAGCTTTTATATTATCTATAAATGTGGTTGAACTTATAGTATCATATAGTAGCTGCATATAAGGATTTATACATAATGTAAAGAGAATTTGTATAATTTAACTATCAAATGTATGCAAGGTTAACATCAGACAAAGGGGATTTGTTGGAAGATTTGAAACTTAGATAACTGACTCATCCATTTTAGATATGAGAAAAAGATTTTATCCTTCTCCTTTGCTTAATGTGATAAAACTTTCATCTAAAAAATACTAAAAAAAATCGAAGAAATAAAATCTCTTCGGTTTTTTTCTTTTTCGACAGGTTAATTCTTATTTAGGTATATTGTTTTAGTATTTTTCTTGTTGTAAATACGTACTGTTATGAGAAGCTTTACAGAAGAAGTATTTTTACCTTTCTTTTGTGTCCCTCACCTTGATATTGTTTTTTTTTTTTTTAAAAAAAAGAAGGAGCACATTTGTCCTTTGAAACGTTTTCGTTCAAACGTTGGTCATTGGGACAGCAAATACCACGTCCATCCTATATGCTGAAGTTTCTCTGACGTTACTTTTGAGATTTTGCTTAGGTTTAGATATAATTAATTTCTTATCAATTGAGTAATTGAGAATTGGTCCCTTACTTGTTCATTTACATTGAGCAAGTTTCCAAGGAAGGTTCTTAGTGGGACATTGACATTTCTTTGATGGTATACTTTATCTAGTATCCATCTTGGCAATCTACTTCCGATTTGCAGTTTCTATGATGTAGTGTTTTAAGTTTTCTCCTAGAATCTCTAAATGTCGAAAAATTCTTTTCATTTTTTCAATACATTCAATCTATTACTTATCGTTTCTCTAAATGAGTTGTAATCCATTGTATAACAATTTAGTTATGATTTCATGGTTATCTTCCCATCACCACTCTTCTTATGATTTCATAGTTTTCTGAAGCTCTATTATGTCCTCTTATCATTTGTAATGCATTTCCTTTTAGTGGTTTAAAAGTTTGACTTTCGAATTTTACTTTGAATTTTTTTTGAATAATTTAATTTTTGAATTTTTGGAATATCTTGAGAATGGATTGCGGCATTAAAACTGCTCCAGAATCCTCTCCATTATGATGGATCCACATAGAAGATGGGTAATGTGGTAAGTTAATTGCATGATGAGGAATTGGAGACTCTTTTTTCTGAAGCAAATTTGAGTTCTTTGATAATCACATTAGTTCTTGGTCGGTTTCATTTTTGCACATAGTTAAAGTGTGATAACTTATCTCCTATTATGATCTTCCTTATCATTCCTTCATCTTGTTGTCGTTAGAGATTTTTCTGGAAAGATTTGAGCCACTTATTATTCGCAGATTCCAGCGTATTATTACACATTTCAATTCGCATAATTTTTTTTTCGATAATTCATTTTCTTATTTCATAAAATTCATAGCGTTTTTTCCGCTTCTAAACTTTGCTCCGATGGTTTCATATCCATTACATTTACTTCGTGAAAGAGATTCTCAAACATTTCTTTTGCAGGGCTTAATACTTGCTATTAGTGGCCATCGCACCTCACTTTGGACACCAAAAAAAGATTAGTTCTCATTTTTATTAAAGAAATATTAAATTAAAATAAAGGCAAACCTACGTGAATCCTTCCGATTGTAAGATAATAGTGGTCCGGCAAATAAATAGTAAGGTTTATTGTCATATTAGCAAAATGATAATACAAGAATATAGGTTATTACAGTATTAAACGGATAGAGGGGAAGAGAAGGCTAGTTGTTGATTGTCGGTCATCGATCATGTAATATTTTTGAAACTTGCATTGTTTCAACTGCTTGGCTTGAAACCAAAAAATACAAAAATCATATTTACATTTAACTGCTTGACAGAAGACCAAAAAATATTAAATTATGATGTCAACACTTAACAACTTGACTGAAGGTCATGAAAGGTGATTTTGCAGTACATATAACGAATTTTCTCGGCTTTCTAACAGACCCTTATGTAGGCATATGACACGATCAGTGCAGCTCATAACTTAACAAGGGAACGCATGCTCTTTCTCATGACAGATGGTGACAATGCTGAAGACCTTTTAATGTATTTTTATGGTAAACGAACTGTTTCTAACCATACCTCAATGCAATGGTCAGTAATCAAGCAAGCTGAAGCATCGATCTTCTGTGATGAGTTCATCACCAGTAAAAGTTCCGAGGTGACACTTTAGAGTGATAAACATAAAGTAACCATTGTCAGGTATATGCTTGGGTGCCAAAACTTAACTTCAGTTGTGACAAAATCTGTTTGTTATAAATTTACAAGGTTTAAATGCCATATTTTGATTCCCCAAAATGTGCGATATCGAATGATCCTAGGAATCGATTGATCCATTGATCCAATGACTTTTCTCCGCAT